CTAAGCCCACTGCTTTGCCAAGAAAAAGGTAAATGTGACTTGCTGAAAAACCGCTGCAAGTTTGGATGGGGGGTAAAATTCCTAAAAAACTCTTGGGAAAAAAAGATCTAGAGGGATTCTGCATTTAGATTTCATCACAAATATTTTTAAGTTCTATTTCACTTTAAAGAAATTAAAACTGGGGCTATAGACAGTGTTTTATGGACAGTCAGATTTATACAAGAAAGATAGTATGGCACCAGAAATTAATACAACATTGTAAATCAACTATACTTCAATAAAAAAAATTATTATTAAAAAAAAGATGGCATGGAACTCCCATAATAGACTTTCTCAAGAAATGACCTTGGTCCTACATCAAAAGTTTAATTTAAAATGTTTATACATTTTAAGTTAAAATGTTTGTTACTTTTTTTATTATTCAATACATGGACCAATTTAAAAAATTAATCTACCACCTATTGTCTCAATCAATTTAGATGAAAACAATCCAAACCAAATATCTACTAACTCTCAAGTTTATGATGGATACTGACTTGTTAAAACAGTTGTTCTTTCTTAACACGTGTTCATGTGTTCAACACATCAGAGGTGGCCAAGGACAGTACTGATTGAAACTCTTATTCCATTCTCTTCCCATCTGGTTTAAATAAAATTTTCTCTGATTCTAAATGAGATAATTTTTATCTCCCAAGGACAAAAATTGGGCACAAAACTTTGGCTTTGGCTGTAACATTGGAATTTTTTTTTGTATGTTTGTTTTGGGTTTTGTCTTTTTTAAGTGTGAACATGACTTTAGTATCCAAAGTGATGACTTTTACTTCTTTCCCCTAAAATTGGGATAAAAGACTGATAAAGAAAGGCTAAGGCATTTAAAAGCAAGTGGCATTTACAAAATACTTCCCTGTACAGCCCTGGTAGATGTTGTGGTGGATGTCTTAGTATTTATTGAAAGCCACAGACTGTCATTTAAGTGGACTTCTACTTGCATTCATCCTAAACTTAGAGGGGCTTTTAGTATGTGAAGGCTATCATAAATTTCATTCTTTTTCAACGTTTTTAAGAAATACCTTTTTTTCCAATTTTAGTTCACTTCTTTTGATTTTAAATAACAGAAACCCAGTCACAGACTTTTGATTATAAATAATAGAAACCCAGTCTATTTAAAGTAGAGAGAGATTATTATGAGTAAATAGGGTGTAAGGACAATCCAAAAATAGGGCCCAAGGTGCTTTGAACCAACTGAAGGGATCCGCCTCTCTACAGATCCAGCTCTGGACTTAGACAGCTTGTTCAGATCCTGCATCTGCATTTTATCTGTGCAGTATTAAGCGAATTAATCTTTATCAGCCTTGACTTTCTCATCTGTAAAATTATGATTATAATAGCATCTATCTTTTAGGGTTTCGTGTGATTAAATTACGTATGCAGGTAGGTACTTAGCCCAGTGTCTTGTGCTTAGTAAATTCTTAATAAATAATAGTTGTTATGATGATTGTCCAATTAGTCTGATTACACAGTCTTGAACTCCATTCTCTACCAACTGTCTTCTTGTACATAGTCTTAGTTTCTGTCCCTTGCAGCTGTGCCTTGTTTCCCAGGGCCCTAGTTTTATCTTATGACAGCCTTTTGGCTCTACCCTACTCATAACTGTCCCATCTACAGACTGGTTTACAGCATGCACTGGCTGTCTTGGTTCAGTTCCCCACCTCTGTTCCAGCCAGCTATGACTTCTTAGGTGGTAGGAGCTGTGAGTAGGTAGGGTGGCTTTACGAGCACATCTCTGTCAAAGGGCATTTTGTATTCTTTCTTGTTTTCTTCTCTAAATTTTGATGTTTCCTTAATATAAATTGTCTATTCTCTTTGTCAACTGAAAGCAAAACCCCAGAGAGAGATTTAAGCATATTTCAAAACTAATCATCCTGCCTTTACTCTGCCAGAAACAAGTCCTTTAACACCAAAGGAAAATGAGTCATTGCTCCTATTCTTGAGATTTTAGTTGAACTTTTTGGGACCTTAAGACATTTTCAGTGAAATTTAAGATTTAGACTTCATCTGTTTTCTAATCAAAATTGTTCTCTATATTTCCCTCTGTGCATTTTTTTTCAGCTGAAATGTGGAAGTTTATAATGATACTTCCCTGAGAACTGTCACAGGTGAAGCATATACATTCTTTTAATAATTGCATGATAATCAGTAATTCATAGCTTATTAATTAATATTAAAGAGCCCTGACTAGGTTATAGAATTACACTGAATTATACTAAAAATATAATTTTAAAATTATACCAAAGTGGTATGAGTTGCTTGGCATTCTGCTTCTGCTCAAGATAGAATAACATCTTGGATTTACCCTCTCACTTGGATATATTCCCTTCTACTTTAAACAAACAAAATCCAGATAAAAATATGAGGCAGTGGTACTCAAGACATTGAACATCAGGCAATGAAGGACAGTGACCCTGAATGATGGGAAACAGATGAGGTGAACCCTACTGTTGCCCTATCTTACTGCCTGAAGAAAGCATTCAGGCCCTAGAGCAGGTGGATGGAGGGATAGGTGTTGTCCGCTGGTCTTCTGAACTGAGAGATGAAGCTGCAGGACAGGAGAAACCGAGAAGGCAGAGCACTGAAGAGGGGAAAGCTGCCCTTGGAGAGAACTCCGGAGATATGTAAAAAGCATTTGCCTTGAGGATTCAGTGGGATACTGATAGGTGCATGCAGGCGAGAAAACTACCACAGCCTGGGGAGAGACCTATGGGAAAGAATGGAGAAAACAGTGACTGTGATTCACGCAATGCTGGGAATAGTGCTTGTTTTAACAGCCAGAGTGAAATACCTCATAATTTGAGGGCCAGAACATCTTTTCACCTAAGTTAAATTTAGCCTGTGATTGAGGCAGGAGCCTGCTCTGGTCCTGTTTAACAAAGTTTAAAAGCAAGACTCTAAAGGATCAAGTTGTGTCCAAGTACCTTGACCACTTTCCAGAACAAAACTCAAGAATATTAGGATTAGAAAAATATCCATCACCAAATAAAGTAAAATTCACATTATTTTCTGCCTAATAAAAAATTAGCAAGCATTTAAAGAAGTAGGAAAATACAACCTATAATGAGAAAAATTAATCAGTTGAAGCTCACTCAGAATGACAGAAATGACAGACTTAGTAGATAAAAACATTAAAACAGTTGTTATAATTGTATTCAATATATTCAAGAAGTTAGACAGAAGATTAAACATATCTGAGACATGAAAGATGTAAAAAGGAAATACCCAAACTGAATTTATAGAGATAAAAACCAAGATGTCTGACATTTAAAGTATCTGTCTGGGATTACTGACAAATAGACTTTTGTAGACATAACAAGAAAAACTATCCAAAATGAAACATGCAAAAAAAAGACTGAAATAAACAGATAAGTAAAATGTGGGATAATTTGGAAGTAATTGAAGAATCAGGAAATGGGGAAGAAGGTAATAAAAAAAATCAAAGAAATATTTAGTCAACAGCACACGGATTCAAGAAGCATAGCATTTCCAAATACAACACATTAAAAAAAAAACCACGCCAAAGTATATTGCTTAAAACCAGTGATAAAGAAAATCTTAAATCAGAGAAAAATAAGAACACACAAAGGGACAAAGACAGGCATGACACCAGATTTTTTTTCAGAAACAGTGCAACTAAGAAGACAGTAGAGCAGTGTCTTTAAATCACTGAAAGAAGCATAGAGTCAACTCAACCTTGAAATTTTTTACCCAAAGAAAATACTTTTCAAAAATGAAGGTGAATATAAAACAAGCTGAAGAATTCATCACCAGCAGACCTGAGCTAAAATAGATGTTAAAGAAAGTCCTTTAAGCTAAAGAGTAATAATACTAGATGGAAGCCTGGATCTACACAAAGGATTGAAGAGTTAGGTGTTTATGATAAACCCTAAGAAATCACTAAAATAACACAACACTAATTCATAACTAATAATCCAACAATGAAGATAAAATGGAATCACAAAAAAGATTCTGGTGTAATCTAGAAGTCATAAAAAGAGGGAAAAAATCAAGAATAAATGGGATAAATAAAAAACATATCAAGAATGTTGCATTAAATGAAAATGGTTTAAATACTCCAATTAAATGACAGAGATTTTCAGACTGAATTTAAAGAAAAAAAGCAAAACAAACTGCTGCCTACAAAAAAATGCATTTAAAATATAAACATGTAAATAGGTTAAAAAGGATATAAAAGATTTATCATGCTAACATTAATCAAAGGAAAACTAGAATGACACTATTAATATTAGACATAGTAGATTTCAGAGAAAACAATATTACCAAGGATAAAGAGGGTCATTACATAATGATAAAGGGATCAATTCATCGAAAACCCACAGTGCTCTAAACATGTAGGTACCTAACAACAGAGCTTAAAACATGAAGCAAAAACTGATAGAATGGTATGGAGAAATAGACCAATGTGCAGTCACAGTCAGAGATTTCAACATTCCCCTCGCAATACTTGATGGAACAAGTAGGCAAAATCAGTGAGGATATAAAAGACTTGAAAAGTTCTGTCAGCCAAATTGACCTAATTGGCATATATGGAACACTCTACCAGCAACAATACACACTTTGTTTCAGGTGCACACCATCATCCACCAAGATAGACTATGTTCTGCCAATAAAAGAAGGCTCAATAAATGGAAAAGGGTCAGGTCATATGTTCTAGGACTGCAATGGAATTAAATTAGAAATCAATAACAGAAAGAAATCTGGAAAATCCTCAAGTATTTGGAAACTATATAAAACACTTATAAATAACCCATGGGTCAAAGAAGAAATCAAAAGGAAAACTGAAAGTATTTGAAATGAATGAATATGAAAACTCAGTGCATCAACACTTGAGGAATGTATCACTTCTCGGCCTTTTGGCTAAGATCAAGTGTAACATTTAAGGTATGCAGCTAAAGCAAAACAATATTTTTAAAAGGGGAAATTTATTAAAACTAAAAGTCTATTTTAGACCAGAAAAGTCTCATATTAATGACCTCAGCTTCCACCTTAAGATGCTAAAAAAGAACAAATGAAACACACAATAAAAAGCAGAAGAAATGATATAATACGATTACAGGGCAAGGCAATGAAACAGAAGATATAAAAATAATAGAGAAATTATGTGAACAATAACTAGTTCTTTAGGAAATCAATAAAATTAATAAATCTCTAGACAAATCGGGAGAAAATGAAGAATTATCAGTATCAAAAAGAGGTGAAATCACAACAGATTTTACAAATATTAAACAAATAACATGGAAATATTTGGAACAACTTTATGCCAATAAATTTAACAACTTAGATGAGTGGAAAAAATTCCTCAAATGACACAAACTTACAAAGACATAATTTGAAGAGCCTTATATTTATTAAAGAATTTAAATTTGTAGCTAGAAAACTTCACAACTACCTGGTACACAAAACTTAAAAAATATTTTGGAATTCAAATGATATAAACCAGGGGCAAAAAATTCAGATATCTCTAGGTGCTAGGTAAATAATGTAAGTAAATGATGTGGAATAGTTACAGGAAAAAATAACTGCCAAAAATACAATCAAACTTTGTTTTTACTGAACCCTGGTATATATAGAAATGTAACAACATCAGCATATATGATAGCAAAGATTTTATTTTAAATTAAACATAAAAACTTAAAATCAATATGTTATTAATTATTCATTCTATTTCTTATGGGATTTTTTTTTTGGTTCTTCTCTGGAATCAGAAAACAGATTCCTTTTCTTTTGCCTTTAGACATTAATTTGTATATATTTTGCATTGCCTGTGGCAATGTGGACAACTTAAAATATTTTACTTTGTCACTAGTGTTTAATTTTCTACAGATGCCTAATGGAAAATAATTATTGACGGAAGTCAGTACTTCCAAATACGGATAGAATTCTTATCCAAAATGTGTTCTCCCTTCCTCCCTTTCCCGGGGTGGCTCCTTCTCATTGTTCAGTTCTCAGAATTAAATTTTCCTCTTCAGAGATGCCTTCTCTCCATTATTACCTCTCATCACTCTGCTTTCTTACTAGTATTTTTTTGTTACTAGTAGCTACCCTTTTCTTTGTAAACTTGACACTCATCTTTTCTCCTACCTTGTAGATCAGTGGTTTAGACTCTCTGTTTCCCTCACCATCCATACTTTGGTATCTAAACTGCAGCAGCAGCTCCACAAACCACTGAGGAAAGAGCTACTGAAATCCCCTAAGCTCTGGTCAGAGGGCAGGACTGATGGCTGTCATGTACAATTTTCTTGGTCAGTGATAATTTGAGACCTGATTAAACTGCTCCAACTGGAGAAAGGAAGGTTTTTTTAAACACTTATTTTGGGGAGGGCAATTTAAGAGCACATATTTAAACAGGACACACACTTTGACCAAACTCTTGACCTTTCAGAAATCTATTTTATAGAGACTCACACTATGCACACGTTTTACAGCATCAATTCTTTTCCCAGAAATTTAGCCTTAAGAAGAAAGCAGACAAGTACCCAAACATGTGTGGAGATGTATTCTCATTACAATGTTTTTGTAAAGGCAAAAAAAAACCCCAAAAACAAACAAACAAACAAAAAAACCCAGAGATGGGAAATGAGCTAAATGTACTTTAAAATTATTTAAATAAGTTTTGGTGTAATTATCAGTGAGATGCTAAGCAGGTATTAAAATTATAACTATATTTAGTTAAAGTTAAAAACAACAGTGGAAATAAATTCACAATATATTGTTAAGTGAAAAAAGTTTAAATAATGGGTATAAAATAATCCTCCCCGCACCTTTTCTTTTTTGATTAAAAGACACAACAACTAATGGGCATATATATGGGTGAATATATGGTCCTGTACAGAAAAAGATCTAGAAGGGTATGTAGAAAGTTGGTCACAGTCATTATCTCTGGCTAGTAAAATATCTAAATTCTTTTTGATACTTGTTTATTATTACAAGGAACATGCATTAATTTTATAATTTTTTAAACTAATAAACATATTTCCATTTGGGAAAAAAATTCTTCTTAAGAAGATGATCCCTCTTCTCTTGGGAACAAATTTTAACATCTTCCATGCCTTTCAATCAGAAATGTCTTCCAATTATGGGGTGTTTCACATTGCTGAGAAAGGAGAATTGTTTTAACAAAATTTTTTCTTTCTTTCAATATGATCCAGAACATACCTATGCTTTAAAAACATCTTGGTTTATTTCACTGAGTGTTAAGAATTGATTTGAAGTTGTGACTTTGTTATCAGGATCAATTTGCAAACTTGATTTCATTTGTATTTTACTACATAGGCATTTTTTAAAGTGGATTCACACAGGTAATTTAGATAATTTTTGTATAGTGTATTTTAAATCCACTAATTACATTTGGTGTGCATGATCATAAACTCTGGATTAGAGGTCAGCCACCATCCCACCAACAGATGACCAGACCATCACCCTGCCAAACCATACTGTGTCATCTCGGGATCTTGTGTTCTTAATAGCCGTGTCCAGGAAGCGCCAGATCACTGAGCTGGATGCTAGTTCCAGCTAGTTTACAGTTTCTTTCTGTGCACGAATCAATCCAAACAGCCGGATGGGGTCATCGTGAATGTTTTCCTCTACCACCTGGCTTTCTGGTGGGAAATCGTCCACCAAAGTGGTCTTAGAAAGGCTGACATTCGTTGCATGTGCCAGCCCAGCTTCGTCCTTGTCTGACACGTAAGTATTCTGTTTCTTGGGCTTCCTGCGCTTCCTCTCGTGGTTGTGTTCTAGCGCGGCGTAGAACACCTTTGCTTCTTTGGTTTCCTACAAAGAAAGGCACGTTAATTCTTCATTGTTAACCATTCTTTAACTTTGACTTCTGGGAATTTCTAAGGCCTACAAAAAACACACAGCTTGTTTTCTGGACTTCAGCTACCTTATTAAACAAATTTGTCAATTAGGATGATAATGAAAAGCAATAGTCAACGCAAGACTTTGGAGTGGGGGAAAAAAGTGCTTAAAAGAACTTTTTTGTGTGTGTGGTTTTCTTTCTTATAGTCAAGATAAACATGAAACTTTTAGATAGGCTCTCACCTGCCTCTCCCCTGGCCTTCACCCTGGGAGTGCTTTGCCCTACGTTTTGCCTATCAAGTGACACACTCTGATTGGGTTAAATTCCTCCCTCTCATGCCTGTTCCCAGTTTAACAAATCAGCAATCTGCTTTACATACATTTAATAATTGGGCCTCTGATGGTACCCACAAAAGTCCCCAATTTTTCTACATTTTTGAGACTCAGAAGTATAAGGCTAACAGTGTCCATTTATACAACTGGCATTTGGCAAGAATTACTTTTACCATTTTCCCCTATTATTTCCTTCTTGCCTGTCTGTCCCCAGATCCCCTTGGAGCTCATTTAGTTTGGTCTCAGAGATATTCATTTACACCCAAGGGGGCTGCCTGTTGGCCGTTTCTGGGCTAGAGCTGAGTCAGTAATAGAAGAAGAACAGGAGGCTAGAGATACTGGATAAAGCAGTAGGCTTGAAAACAAGACCTTGAATTTGGTGTTGGAAAGCCTAGGACTGAATTTCAGCTCTGTAATATGTTGGTCATGGGCCCTTGGGAAGTTTTTTTTTTTAAACTATTTTGAGCCTATTGATTTTAGAATGGCAGCACCTGTCTTACAGTGTTCTTAGCAAATAGAGACAGTAAACAGCTGACCCCTGAACAACACAGAGGTTAGGGATGCTGACCCTCTGAGCAGGGGGTCTGCATGTAACTTTAGAGTCAGCCCTCTGTAGCCATGGCTCCGCATCCAGGAATTCAACCAACCCCTTGTTGTTAATACTGCAGTAAGCATTTAGTGAAAGAAATCAGTGTATAAGTAGACTCACATTGTTCAAACCTGGTTATTCAAGGTCCAAAAGCAAGGTGGTATTCTAATTATTAGAAGTTGTGTGCTAAAACTTTAGGACAGCCATTAAATACATCACAAATTTCTGTATTAAAATTTTATGTTTAAAAGTAAGCCAAAGTGATATCAATTTGTGGACTCTGGGGTAAGGAAGCAACCTGTGGATTAACAAAACCACTAACGCATGGATAAGCTTCTCCTTGTGGACACTCACTCTCATGCCAAGAGTTAAATGTCTTGTGTTCTCTACCAGCCGGATGGATGGCCTGACTTTTTAATCCTAAAATAATCATTTCTGGAAAACTGCAGATACCTAATTGGTGTCCTTGCTCTAGTCTCTACCCTCTGCTAGTTAGCTCAGTCTGTCTTTAAATTATTGTCCTAAGGCACAGCTCTCATACTTTACCATCCTGTCTCCAAAATTTTAGCCTACAGACTGAAGTCTGCATTTCATAGCCTGACATTCAAGGTTTTCCATGCTTATAACTCCACATCTTCTGTTTTGATTCCCACTACTCTGTATTCCAAGCCAACTGAACATTTCACTGCTTCCTGAACATTCCTTGTGTTTTACAAGCTCTGCCTTTGCCTAGACAGAGAAGATGTCAGTGAGGTTAAAAACAAACAAACAGAAAAACCAGAAGGCACTCAGTAATTCAAATGGGTAGATATCTTTTTTGACAGTCCAGCACTTTGTTCTATCCCTTTTTCTTGAATAAATTCTCCATTTTCCTTTAGGAAATTTCTCTCCTTTATCTGGTCCTGGAAAGCCTGTCAGTTACTGTACTCTAGGCTCAGGACAGGTCTAAGCACATGACCCAGGCTGGAACCAACCACCCTGCCAATCCTCCTGGCAATAGAAGTTGGTCCAAAGTGGGCATGTGACTTCAGCAGAGCCAATTATATGGCATCCTTGGGACTGACGTACAGATGAAGAAATAGAAAAGGCATCTTTTCTTGGAGTTGGAAGGAAGAAATTCTGGGTCTGCCAGTGGCTTTCCCAGCCTCAATGGAAGAGTCTGTTGGTAATAGAATGAAGTCAGTAACAGAGAATCAGGGAGAAATGGAGAGAGCCCACACAATCAATGATCTCTAAACCAAAATATACCCTTACATCTTCCAGTTATATGACCCAGTGATTTCCCTTTTATGCTAAAGTTGTTCGAATTGGGTTTTTGTACTCACAACTAAAAGCATTTCAAAGAATATATGTCTAGTCAACAATTGGTTGACTTTATCAAGTGTTGCCAAGTTCAAACAATGTGAGTCCTGAGGAAGGACCACAAATTGTATGTGACATAGTCATTGTGACTTTCAGAATTTTGTTTCAGTTGAGTAGATGGGTAGAAAAGATACAGACAGGGATAAAAGAATCTGCATCTATGAAAAGAAACAGAAACTGTGGAGGAAAGTAAGAACCAGTTTAGGAATGGGAGAGAAAAATGGTTGAGGTAAAGTTTTGTTGTTTTATTTGGTTTTGTTTTTAAGTATCGTGGAGATTTGTGCATATTGGTAGGTAAATAGCAATTAATTTAAAAAGAGACAAATAACTGAAGGTGCAAGATCTTGAAAGAAATAGGAGAAATAGTCAAGAGCACAAGTAGGAGTACTGACTTTGTGTTTTTCTTTTTTATTGAAGTATAGTCCGTTTACAATGTTGTCAACTTCTGGTGTACAGCATAATGTGTCAGTCATATATGTACATACATATATTCATATTCTTTTTCATTATAGGTTATTGAACATATTTCCCAGAAGAAACTTGTTTAGGAGCATTGACTTTGGAAAGGAGAGAGGATGCTTCTGACACAGGAGGGAAAGGAGGGATGTGGGTGAGAGGTTTGACATGAGGGTAAGGGAAGGGGAGTAAGTTCACACTTGTGTCCCTCGATTTTTTTAGGATATGAGAATTCTCGGGAACTCATTTTATTTTTAGGTTTCCTGATCAACTCTTCCTAGCTAATAGCAGATTTAGATACTGAAACTATAACTTCTGAACTGCACACATCATTTTCAAAGGGCAAGGAGCTTATTTCTTTTTCCAACAATCATTTTATCCATCAAGCTTTATGCATCATATTCTAGATTCCTTATGCTTTTGTAATTGATAAGAGTATCTGAGTATCGTAGTAGCAAACTGGGTAGTGTTTTTGATGATAATGATCATTCTAATAAAATGGAATTGAGCAAATACAGAGATTAGTCTTTGTTTAGAAATAATCTCTTTAGAAGTGTCTTTAAATATATAATTCATAAAATGGCAAACTTGTATTAAAGACATTTTAAGGCTTTGCACAGTTTCCATGTTAGTAAAAACCAGATGCAGCACAAATAGAGCTGTCCTGTTCAATTCACATGTATTAAACAGCAACTTTTATTCAGAATTCTCAGTTCCTTTTACTAAGGTGCCATGAATCTTAGATGGCATGGTTATATTTTAACCTTCTTTGAGAGGTTTTCTTTTTATTATCATGAATTTAGCAGATCATTTTATTACATGCAGGTTTTCCTATCTTTTATCTAAAAATCCATTTTACAATTAATTGAACATCACGTGACAGATTTGCCCATGAGAGGGTAACTTTACATTTTGCTTAAACCTCACCACATCTTGATTCCTTAATAAAAATTTTCAAGAATTTGATTTTTTTTTCAGGGGATTCGTATAAAGAAAACAAGAAATTATATCTCAGTGGGACATTTCCAAGTTGTGACCTATTTTCAGAGGAATGCTTTGTTAGGCAGGACTCAGTTTGGATTCCATCTCCCCACTTAGTATCTGTGTCTCTGGGTAAGTTTTTCATCCTTTTCAAACCTCTGTCAAATAGGATCATCATGCTGAATTCCTCATAGGAATCTAAGATAATGCCTTTAAAGCACATAATACCTGACACATAACAACTACATAGGAAATGCTGGCTCTGAAGCTATTTTTAGGGAATAGCAAGAGAGCATATGATAAAAGGGGCAAAATCGGGGAGGAGAAGGAAAAACCATTTTAACTGAAATTTCTAATACTTTAGCCGCACATAGGCTAAGAATTGTGAATGGCGGTTCTGTGTCTGAGGAGGCTGCGCTGGTTACGATGGGAAAAGGATAAACTGTTTATTTCTTCTTGGGCTCTTCTATTCCTGCTTAGGCTTCAGTCCTGCCTATCCCCACACAAGCCATGTGTGAGTCTCTTGAGATAAGATGAGAGCCGTAAGACTAGTATTCAAATTTACAGTCATTTTCCTTGTGAAACAGACGTTATTGTTTTTTATAGCTAGCGAATTTATCTTTTAACTAAAAGATTTCGCTTTCTCTCTCCATCCACCATAAGTTCCTGACTTCTGGGTCTTCTGAGCATTATACTTCTGTCAACCTTCATATTTATTTCTGTGATACATGTAATTTATTTTACTCTGAAAGAAAAAAGCTTAACTGTTTAGGAAGAGGATCCACTCTTCCCTTGAAATCTATTGCTTTTGTAATTGGACACAATTTTGACCCTGAGTGTGGCTCTGAGGATTGTTTATTTGCCTTTGAGTTTTTCTTTAGAGAATCGGACACCGATTGGGGCTGCAAAATTCCTAACATGCTCCTGCCGATGTTAGAATATGATGTTTTTATGCTCTTGAAACAAGCAGCTGTGCTGTGACCTAGGCTGACCTTGACCCTTCGATACAGAAAAACAAAACTCACCTGTGCAGGGGGGTTGTCTTCTTGCAGTTTATTCACAGACCTCTCTGGTCGGGCTTTCATTTGTTCATAGCAATTTTCATCCACTGGTTCTTGGGAGTTGACAAGATCAAGATTTATAAAGGAATAATAAAAATGCTGGCACAAATAAAAATACATGACCCAAACAACATTTAGCTATAAATGTGAAACCCTTGAGGATCATTTGACTAGTCTTTTTCATGGTGATGCACAGAGGTGAGGAAATACAAGCTCTTTTCTGCAGATCAGACTGTGAAGTCTGTTGTCCCATAGCATGAAAAACTGGACAAAAGAAGGTCACTTGGGTGGGGGAGAGGGTAAAGCTTAGTGGTAGAGTGTGTACCTAGCATGCACAAGGTTCTGGGTTCAACCCACAGCACCCCCATTAAAAAATAAATAAAAACCTAATTACCTCCCCCACCTCCCCCAAAAAAGATCACTTGAGATAAGGATTAGATCATATTCATTTTTTCACATTACCATTGCAAGACATGACAGTCTGACAGACTCAACTTAAACTACCATTTAGATGTGATAGAGGTTCCAGAACGTAAAGGATTGCCTGTGTTCCCTTCTATTTAAGTCTGATTACAAATCGTGCAGGGGGCATAAAGCACAATGCACGTACACTGATGATTATAATTTAGTAATTTTTTTGCATAAGTAAGAAGTTTTCCTCAGAGGCATTTTAAATGCGTTTAGGATGCCCTACATCCTATTTTTGAAAAAGAGCGTTTAAATTATGTCTGTTGTCCTATAAATCAGTGATAGGACAGTTCAGCCAGGCTGTTTTGAGAGTCTGGGGTGTATAATACTGGTTCTAAGTGCTTGGAGTTTTTGTGCTGTGTCCGCCAGCCAGCAGACCTGCACTCATTTCATCCTGCGGGAATGCTTACTGAATCATCCATACCTTTCTGCCCCCAGATACTCCTATTTAAAAGGGATAGGAAGGAGAGTTAGTGACTTGTAGGATGGCGAGTAGCCTGGCAGAAATGTGGATTGCGCCAGTTTGACCCCATAAGCAAAAAGATATATTTACTGTAATACAAGGCACTTCATAGTCATTCAAGCTCCTCTGAAAAGCCATGCAGAGAAATAGTCCATAGAGTGATGTTTCTCAAAGCATGGTCCATGAAAAACATGCATTAGTATCACCTGGGAGGTTTGGTAAATAGCAGGTTACTGAGCCCTATGGTGGAACTATAAATCAGAACCTGTAGGAGTGACACTTGTGCTCATTAGACATGGAAACTGCAGATATGGTAGGCTTTGAGCCACCAGAATACATAAGAAATTAAGTCCTCAAATATTATAGGTGGGCACCACAATTCTGCAAGGGGAAACAGAAGGGCAAATTATTATTACTTTTTATTTATTTATTTTATTTTTTTAATGAAAGTATAGTTGATTTACAATGTTGTGTTAGTGTCAGGTGTACAGCAAAGTGATTTAGTAATATGTATATATTACATATCCTTTTTCAGATTCTTTTCCATTATTGGTTATTATAAGGTATTGAAGATGGCTCTCTGCACTGTACAGCAGGTCCTTGTTGGTTATCTATTTTATATATAGTAGTGTGTATCTGTTAATCCCAAACTCTTAATTTATCCTTCCCCCCCATTCCCCTTTGGTAGGGCAAATTCTTTTTAATAGTCTATTCCTGAAAAAATTGTTTCTGATTCTTCAGAATACAGAGCTTAGAGGACAATTTACAATGGGGGGGGGAGACAAAAATTATATTCTTGAATCCTCATGCTTAACTTTTGGAGATTCCATACTGTTTTGATATACATAGAGATTATTCTCATGCTTAACTTTTGGAGATTCCATACTGTTTTGATATACATAGAGATTCAGATAAATTTAGTCTGCTGCTGGAAATCTCTGTGTTGAAGACTCAGAGATCAACAGGACTTACCCTCCAAGTCTCCTATCATGAATTAAGTGACGGCCTGCAGGGCAAGGATGGGGTTAAATGCTAGCGTTACTGTCAGAGTGCTGGGATCAGATCACAGCTGTCTGTTAGGAGGCATTTAGGGGCATTTAGCTCTGGGCTGGTTGGGATGCTTCAAGTAATAAGGGATGCTGGGAATTGAAGAGTACTTGTTACATAAGAACAAAAATTGTGTAACCCACTCGGTGATGATTTGGCTCTTCTCTTTCCCTCCATGTAACCCTAGATTCTCCACTTAAAAAGAATGAGTTAAAACAAGGGAAACAGAGAACGTGTTCTTTGTTCCCAATTATTCACTGTAGATTTGCTCTTTTCTACAGAGCATCAAGCACTGTTTCCCTGGGCCATTTTCTGTTCTAGAGATAGCTGTATTTCAAAGAAATCTGTTTGTGTCAAAATTCAGGGTAGTACAGTCTTCCTGTATTCTCATTAATACTAGAGGGAAATGAAGAGAATATAGAAAAACAGGATGTTGATTTACACTGAATTTTGCAGTACGATTTACAGTATGCAGCTTTGGAAATATATACTAAGTAACGTGCGAAATATACTTGAATTTATGATTACCGTTGGAATGTTTAAATGTGATTGTGATGAAAAATAATAAGCCACCTCAAAGTCTTTGTAGAATTAAGTGGGAATAATTAATTTATAGATAAATTTACTTTCTGGAAAAATTAAACTTACCTGAGGCCACATTATCTAAGTTACCATAAATCGGTGTGTCTTCAAAATCATACTCATCTTCCCTATAATAAGGAAAAATAATTTGCCTCATTAGAATCTACACATAGTTCATAACTAATTTTTCAGCTCAATTCAATATTGGGTAAATGATTACATGTTCTTGTTTAACCTTGACCACCCAAAGTAGATATGTTGATGTGAGCGTGAGAGAGTCAGTTGCAAATGTGCATGCATGTGGGTGTAGGAATTTGAAAAGTTGTGTTTTGGACCTTCTTTCAGGGAATAATAATAGCAAATATTATTTAGTACATAATACTGTGTGTCAGATGCTGTTTGAAGTGCATTATGTATATTTATTCATTTAATTCTCATAACAGTCCAACCAGACAGTTCCTAATCAGGAAACTGAGGCTGAAGGTCACAAGACCAATAAATGACAGAGCTGGGATTAGAACTAGATTATCTGTGCTCTAAACTATACATTGCACTTCCTATTTATTTGCCAAGAATATCACTTTGAATGGCCCCCTAACACTCTGTTTGCTAAGTAAATCTTAATTGGCGGTGATGATTAAAAAAATAAGAGTCCAGAGAAACACTGTAGATTCAGCTTGGTAGATGCAATAAAATGACTGATCACCTATTATATCCAAACACTGTGCTGTTTTACATGTATTGTATAAAAAAACCCAGGGAAATTCTACAAAAATATTATTATTTCCCACTTTACAGATGAAAAGTCTGAGATTCAGATAGATCAATGTATTTTCCGTAACCTTATGTGTAATATCAGCAATAAATACCAACTGTGAAAGCTTTTATTTATGCCAGTGTTCATTCAACACTCAGGACAACCATATGAGAGACATTTTTTAAAATAAAATCCTCATGTGCACATAAGGAATTTGCAATGCATAGAGATAAATTGTCCAGAGACACAGAGACAATGATGGCAGTGCTAGGGTTGTGATGCAAGTCTGGTCCTAAAGCTCTGAATACTATTTGTTCTTGATGTTTGATTAAATTTCCCTACAGCATCATCTGAGTAATCCTATTAGGATTACGGTAGACATCCTACCATTGTCACCAGACAGTGACGATGGCCCTGATGACCAGCTTTCACAATAGCAGGCTGGGAACACAGAAACATTTCAGGCAGTGAGAGTGGCATTTCATAAATTAGCAGCAACTACTTTAACTTTGAGATTATGTATCACCAAGAGCTGGAGGGAACTGCATCAGAAGGAAAAAGAACTCTTATCTCAAGGCATAACACCTATACCACTCCCGTGCTTCTGAAAAAAGACACCGTATGTGTAAATAGCAAGTAGGTGTCCTTAAAAAAAAACAGATCAAATGATACCTGCATGGAATGGTTTGAAAAGTCCAGATGCTGGCATGAATTTCATTTACCTGATAACAAAGAAACTCATCCGTAACCTTTCTTTCCACTGGCAATTTAATACAGCTTAATATTGGGATATGGAGCAGTCCCTGTTCATGGTTTTTCTCTGGCTATGCAGTGAATATAATAGCAAAAGGTGAAGAATTTTTAATAAGACAATCCATCCATTTTCCTAGCCCACACAGATAGCAGATACAACCTGTAAATGATAAATCATGTCCAAAAAATGAACATCATTTCATTCTCTATGAATGAAAATAAGATGTGATTTATAATGCAATGCCCTGTGTCTACAGGCAGGTCTCAAATGATTAATCAGCTCAAAGAACCTATTATAAAGCAGCAGTTGCCTAACCAACAAATTAGAAAGTATATTTTTACTTGGCAATGCCAAATAGCTCCAGCCTGTTGTGAATATCTAATAAACTTCAAGCACAAACATTTGGCAGTGTTTTATGTGGCAGATTGATTGTTATTTAAAATAAATTAATAAATAAGCCCAGAAGCGTGTGCACCTCTGAGTTTGGGGCCAGATCAGATTCTCCATTGTTCTCGACATGTCTGAGATAATCCCCTAACCGATCAGCATATTTACTGATGCTCCAGAATTTAAAATAATATTAATTGCATCCAAGTTTTTCTGCTTTCACATATGTTTTCTCTAGTCTCTATTTTTAAAGTTCTTATTTATATTTTATCATTATTTTATTGTGAAGTCCTTTAAAGAAAATGCCTCAAATACTTTATTTAAGTAGCTTAAATAAGTGAATTCAATTATTAAATAATCATTACTTCTGCTTGAGTGGCTTTGGCTAGAAAGTCTCTGAGTTTCAGTTTCCTTATTTATAAAATAAGGATATTAAATTATTTAATCCCCATTGATCTTTTCAGCTCCCAAATTTTATCACATAACTGTGATAAATATCCAAAATAAATAAATAAAAGACATTTCTACAAAACTAAATAAAGCTATTTTAAGGGGCTGGTAAGTTGTAAGACTGAGGAAAGAACAAGTTTAGGGGTCTCAGAAGTCAGAAGTTTGGGCTTCCCCAGTGTATAAAAGTGAGAGAGGATGAAATTACAAATGGAATGAGTATAGACAGAGAAGAGGTTCACTAGACAAGCCCTGGACACTCTGATGTCGAAGATTCAGAAACCAGCCAAGAAGAAGTTGCTGGTAATTGAGATGGAAAACCCAAGAGGGGGTGGCCCCGAGCTCGAAGAAGCAAGCGTATAGAGAACTAGAGAATGTCCATGTGTCAGATGGACTGCGTACAATAAGACTAAGATTTGCCATGTAGATTTCATTGGTGACATTGACAAGAGCTGAGTCAGTGGATTATTGAGGACAGAAGATTGAATAGAGCAGGTTTAAGAAGGAGGAGAAGAGGAAAAGAAGCCAGCAAAGGTGGCAAAGAATGCAGGTGGAATTTCTGAGTTCTTCTGTAAAGGGCGCAGGGCAATGGAGAGGTAACTGTGTGCAATATAGTATCAAGGGAGCTTTTCTTCTTTTTTTTAAGATATGAGACAATACTATCTGTGTATATACTGATGGGAATGAGACAAAGGGGACAGAAAAAGTGATAATGCAGGAGAGAAAAGGGAAAGTTGCTGCAGCAATGTGTCCCTGAGTGTATGCACACTAGATTTTTGCTTTCTTTGACAGGGACCATGCCATGGATGTAGGTGTCTTGAACTTGGGGTGAGAGGACACCAAAGATAGACCCCTGGTACAGGGGAGAAATGTAAACCCCAGGAAGTTTTCTATGGTTAAGGTTAGCTAAGAATCAGTAGTGTTTCCTGTGAGGGAGGATGTTAATGGACTCTCAGAGCCATGATATCTAACACTAAATTTTTCTTCTCTTGTCAGTGCTCCAATGCCCTTCTGATGAAGCCCACTTCTTTGTAAAGTCAATCAAACACAGACACTTACATTGCTAGTGCTTTGGAGCACTTCAAAAGAAGGGCCTTTTGTCAAAGGTTTGGGGAAAGGAAACTGGCTAGCATGAAGGATTCTAAAGAGTTGGGGAAAGAATCCTAGAGCAGTCTCCTGGAGCTAGGGGTACCCAAAGGCCAGTCAAAAATAATTTTTGGAACTTGTGAGCACTTCTCAAGGAGTCCCAAAAATACTTAGGAAGGAGACTGGACTTCTTGCTGTCACACAGGGTTGGAGCTTGGGTTATGGTTATTTGTACATTAAAAGAAGTAAACAGAAAGCTGGAAAACACGGAGATGCTTTGGTTCCAAATGTGGCCATGGTCACAGAGAGGGCCTCATCTGCACATCTACTTGGAAGTCTGAGATGCAGGGACGGCTACCCAGGAGTTCCACTGTTATCAGGGCACTCAGCCCTAGGAACAGGTGAAGAGGACAGTTGAGAGTACAGGTCTGTTCCAGGGCATCAGGTTAGTATTTAGCAAAGAGGGGAACTGAAAGCGGGTCCTCGGCCTACAGAGATACAGAAATCCAAGGAACAGTCTTAAGATAGAGGAATAGCTGAGATGAGATATGTTTTGTGATAAAAAGCAATTTAGGTTCCACCCAGGAGGAGACCATGCAAAAGCTGCTAGGAATCTGCCTCAAGTCTTTGAGAGACACTCACTGAGGAATTATAATCAGCTTAATGTAAACCTGAACTCCTTTCCTAAATTAGGAGATGAATATAATTCAAATGGGTGGGACTTTCCCTAGACCTTAATTTTCATCTAACAAAGCAGCCAGCTTTTTTTTAGCAACTACCCACTGTAAATACAGAATCATATTATAACCTGTATTTTTCAGATGATAAAATTCAACATCACTAATGCTCATTTTCCCAAGATTTTACTCATAGTAATTGCAAGAGTTTGATTAAAACCCAGAACTGTCTGGATTTCAAATCCATGATATCCTCACAGAATTAACCTCCTGACACAGATCAAAGGACAAGAATTGTGTAGAATTGTGTTTAAAGGAAAAATTAAGTGGCCTGGCGGTAAATACCAAGAAGTGTATATTTAGTTCTCTATTAGATGTAGATGCAATGCTGTTCTTAAAGTGATCATGTTCATGACTTTCTAATGCAGGAAGGGCAGGGACCGGGGGAAGTAGGGTAATAAAATCAGGGAAGCAAATTTCTTTCCCCTCCAGCATGAGCTTCCCACCTAAACCAATGCTGAGCAGGGGCAGGGAGAGAGTGCAGCCAGGAGCCTGGTGTGATGGGCATTTGCCACCCTTCTATCTAGCCTCAGACGTCTAAGAACCGAGGAGGCATCCGTAATTCTAGCCCTACCTAAGGAAAATAACCCTTGTTTCCATTTGCTGTTTTACTGTCTATATCTTAGTGGCTGGAAATAGCTCATTTGTTTTTTCCCTGAAGCCTCCATGCTCTCCTATCAAGATGGTTTTAGCTCCCAAACTACATAATCAGAGAAACAGACAAGCTGCAAAGTACATACAGAAACTTGTAAATTAATATGCCAACTGCTTTTTATAGATAAAATCTGCATTGTGTATTCAAATTTTCCTAAACGAAGATTTATTACAATAGACAACCGATTATTAAATCCTTGAGGGAAGGATCTGTATCTTTTCATCTTTGTATCCCTACTGTCTAGCAGATGCTTATTTGTTGAATGAATATTTATTGAATGAACAAATGTTATAAAGGAACCAACATCTTTTCTGAATTTTTCCTGCAGCTAAGAGCCTCCTTGCTTTGAGATAGGTATTTTACCTATTTTCCTTTCTGAATCTTCCCATCCTAATCCAAAAACCACCAACCCAGACTTTGGCAGAATGACCATATCACAGGACTTTCATCACATTGCATCTTAACTGCCTTTCAAATGACAAATACTAAATCAGTCATCAGATTAACTCCTACTTGGTTATGTCATATTTTTTCGCTGAAACCAAATCAGCAAATCACTCTTGATATGAACTAATGACTTGAACATTATCTCATGCTATAGAATCCAATGTTAAAGTAGTCAAAAATAAAGACTTTCTTTTTTTTGTGTGGGCCTGCCTATAGCCCAGATCCTGAATCTTCCAGAGACATTTCCACATGGAGAAGACTGTTTCAAAAAAGGACCTTTTAGCCAACAAAAAGCTTGTAGTCTTATCCTATCCAGTGAGAAAGCTGTGTTTTGGGAGGACATTATTAGCCTTTTAGTTTACCATTTCAAAAAGGTCTTGAGGAGTCCTCTAGGAAATGCTCTATATTTAAATTTTTTTTATTCTAACAGAGAAATTTCCAATCTGATGACATATTTGGGTCAGAATATACTGTCCAAGAAAATAAAACTTATTTACTATGATTTTTACCATAAACCTTCTTTTAAAAGTTTTTTAGAAGTTTCATATTATATAAATTTATCTGCAAATTGTTCAATAAGTGTAAGAAAATAAGTTATGTTTTATTTATAGCTGCACATTATTTTAGAGTTATTTATCACATTTCCCTAGTGAACGGCAATCCCCTTAAAAGCAGCACAGTGCGAAGCATCCGTGTCTACGAATGTGTGTATACTTACCTTACTTTTATTGGGTATTGCCAAATTTCTTTCTACCTTGGATTCCTAAGAGCCACGCAATTCTGTATTTAATTAGATGACGTTCTTACCATCTGATCTGAATCATAATCTAGGATAGCTCCTGAAATTGATGAGGGCTCTATAGATACCAGGTTAGAATCTCGTTCTGCCTTTCATCCAGCTGTCTCACTGACTCAGCATGAGTAGGTAGCTCAGGCAGATAATAACGTTATAGCTTTTAATCTTCAGATGGAAGTAAAAGTCATTCAAACTCACTTTTCGTTTTATTTTAACCCAAGTACAACATTCCTAAGCCAAACCTATAAGCAATATAGCATTAGTTACTTTTCCCTATTACTTGGAATCGTAATCTATGGCTTATTTTCTACATACCTGGGAGTGCAGTCATCGGGGTACATGTATATTTTATCTGAAAGATAATCAAAGTAGACAAATTAAAAGAAAAATTGACATAACGTGTTAAACCTCCTAGAGCAGGTTCTGAGAGTAGCTTTGCTTCAACGTCATTACATGGTTAATCAAGCCGCTTGGCCACCACTGTTTGACCTAGAGATAAAGACGTTTCTGATTTGGGCCAATCATGTTCTTCCTTGGTAATCTAGGATGGAGAAACAATGCAGCTGGCTTAGAAGTGATGTACAGCCCAGATGTGTGGCCATGTCATAAAGGGGAAACTCCAAGCCAAAAACACTGGAACCTCTGTCACTGCCTTTTCTGTGGTTCCAATCTGTTGTGGGGCACGGCTGTACTTTCTGCCTTTGGGTTCCACGAAACACCTCTGCTTCCTTCTGACAAATTTCCCCCTTTGCCCTTGCTGGTTTGAATAGATTTTCTCATCCTTATGTATACACAAAGTCCCTAGATGATACTTCTATTTATTTATTATTTATCTATCTACCTATCTACCTAATTTTGCAGTGTCTGTTAACATTTCTTGGTGTGTGACAACAACATGAAAAAGATGTTTGGGATGTTCCTTTGGTCCTCATTCCATTTCATCCACATGATGCAAATAGGAGAAAGGACATATGGTGGTTCTAGGAAGAAGAAATATGGAAAAAGTTGGGAACACAGTCTCTAAAAATAATCAAAACAGTAAAATGAGTTTTATACAGAACAGTATGTGTCCTGTAGAAACAAGGCTGACCAGAAATTTGATGTGAAAATCATAATAAAAGTTATGTGTCACATCTCAGAAAGCACCCACTGTTGAACCTTGGAGGCAGTGGTTCAAAGGCAAATGAAAGGAAGTATTTTTACTTCAAATTAAATAAATATATTTATTAAAAAATAAATCAAAATGGGAAGGAAAGTTTCGAGAATTATTTTTAGAAAGGCAATAGATTGATAATGACTAGCTGAGGGAAATTAAGAGAAATTCATAGTTCATTTTTAATAATTAAGATCAAAATTATGAAGAAGTCTATTGTCTGTTCATCAATAAATTTTCTTTGAACTAGATAGATGTATTTGGTATGATATTTATTATATTTTGATTGCATATTATTTAACCTGGCATTAATTAAAAGCCAAAGTCTTGCAAAAGCTATCATATAAAAGTGAAGCCCAGTATTATCTAAGTCTCTGACAATGACTCAGAGACAATAGGAATCAAATGGTGATCTTTCAGTTTTAACATGTGAAAACCACTGTGTGTTCGTAAGAAACTGACAAAAACATTTCCAAATAATTGAACAAGTCTTCAAACAACTGCAAAGACTATTTTTAAATTTATGTGTGACAAAGTTGAATTATTCTCCAGGGAGGTCATTAACTCTTAGAGAAACATAACTGAAGCAAATTATTAAAGTCATCACATTGGAGGGCAAAATGGACATGTCACATGTCAACGTGTTTGTACGAATGATGTGAGGGACCAAATGCAGGAAGTTTTTGCAGAGCACAAACATCAAGCAACCAAGACCAAGGGATCAAAAGTGATGAATGTAATCCATTTGGGATCAATCAGAAATATCTAGCCTGCATCTAAAAGATGCAGTTGTTTTCACATTAGTCTTGTGACTACAAATGCAACATGTGTGTTGGGAGAAGCCTGGAGAAGTCTACTGCTGCACAATAGCCACAAGTTAATGGAAGCCCAGCAAAACCAGAACACTTGAGAAATGTAAACAATATCAACACGTATAGGAAGAAAATTAATTAATACAGACTAGAAAATTATAAACTGGAAAATATAAAGTAAGTATTGATTTCTTTTTATATGAATGACATGACTTGGGTCATTAATTATTATTCAGATTTGCCTGGAATTAAGGTGCATATAGAAGAATTTAGTCAGCCTATAGCCTGCTGTAGCATGGAACAAATTTAGGGTTAGGAGTCAGAAGACACTGGATTTGGGCACCAGCTCTTTAATGCATTTCATTGCAAATGAACATGCAAATCACTGTAAAACTCTGACACTCAGTTTTTGTATAAAGTAGGGTTAGTAATGCCTATATCATGGAGTAGATGTGGAAGATAAATGAAGCAATTTCTGTAAACATATTTTAGGAAATGACAAAGTTGGTTATTACTATTCCACATTCTAACTCCCTGTCATGTAACAAGGCACATTTAATTGTGCTGATTTGAATTGAGAAGTTTCTTCATTAAATGGATTAGCTAAAAACAAGTTGATACAGTTAAGGTGCTATTTTAAAGGTAAAAGATTTATAAGTAAAGCTCAATTTGAAATGAAATAATCAAATCTCACCTTTGGCAAGAAGATTGTCACTGAGTAGAAAATTGAAAGGAAAGATAAAAAAAAAAATAGTGACAGTACTTGAGTGGAATAAGAAAAAATAGGTATGGGGTAAAAATATTTCTCCAAACAGACTAACAGTTTTTAAAGATAATGTGGATTTTCCAGTTGGAGGTGCTTAGTGTATGAATGACGGCACCTGGAAAAGATACTGTTTTAACATGTAAAAGGATAGCTCTAGAGAAGGAAAATGTAGTTTGACATATTATCAGCAGAGAAAAGCAAAAAAAAAAAAAAAAAAATTTAGACCAAAAAGCTTTGGGTGAAAAAGGAAAGAGAAACAACTATGTAAAGGATACAGTATAATGTGATGCTTAGGCAGAAGGAAAGGGAACTAAATGTGAACAACAAGAAAATAAGTAATGAGTAAAGAACAGTATACATCAGAATCAACTATACTGAAGAAGCACCCTGAAAGGGAACAGTAAAAGGTCAAGTTCACATCACGCTACTCTTAGAATTTAGACGTATAATCTGGAGCTGGGCAGTCAGTACTTGTGTGTTTTTAGTTTAACAGTACTTACCATAAGAAGTGTGATAGAGTACCATCTCTTTAAACAGGGGCGTAGCCATCAAAAGTTTAGAGGTTACAGGACAGGAGAAAGGTCAGCAAGCTCAGGCTCCAGAAAAGAGCGTGCTCTGTCATGAGGACTTTTAAGTTAATTTTAAAATAAATGGCATGATTTAAAACCACCTTACACATCTCAGTTGTATTTAATAAAATAAAATGCAGCTTTTATTTTACTATAAGGCAGTTATATTTGCAAGACTTTGTGCTGGAAAAGCTAGGGGAGTTTTCATAATCCTCTCCTTTGATTCAGATACAAACACTGTGGTCAGGTTCACGGTGGAGAGGGTGTGGGCTAACATTTGCTTTTATGTTTTCCTGCATGTAGTGTTCACCCTTCCACGTGCAAAACACAACAACAAGAAACAACAGCACATGGTTTAAACTCCATAATACAAATTTTATGATACATTTTTATCGTGGAAATGTAAAAATAATGTGCTATAATTTTCTGGCAAATAGGAGATACACTGATAGGACTTCGATGTATGAGCAAACCATACAGTTATTTAGCCTTCTCAAAACAGAGAAGAAAGGCTGGATAAAGAATATTTTTTGGATTAATGGAAGAAAAAGCGAGTGCAATCCTATCAGAAAGAGAAATTAATATAATCCTCTTAAAGAACAGATTTGGACAGAGCATCATAAAAGTGAAAGATTTATTTTTGGGGTGGGGAGAACTCCATTTCAAAGCTTCTACCTCACCCTGCTACAGAAAGCACCAAGGGAGAGGCTTATCTTGTCTATCTGATTGAATGTGTAGATACTGCATTGTTGTTGGGATATAGGTTTTCTTTTGTAAGCTATTTAATACACCAGCAAAACTTATTCACTGACTTCAAGGTGGAGTCAGATTTTGCAAGTTTCTTAACCACAAAGAATAGCAAAAGATATAAAAATAAAGTTGCATGAACCCAGATACAGGGGCGTTGTGTACACAGACCAGAGGGCAGAAAAGCTGCTAATGTGATGGAATCTCTTCCAGTCTGTCTGTTTAGGAGAAACAAAGCAGGGAGGTATCTTCAGGAGGACTGGAAAGGGGTCAAACAGTTTGCAGAGCCAACCCCCAAACCACCTGGAATGTCTGGGTGAGAAAGAAAGACAGTCCTGTTTGCTCATATGGAATTGAAAGGATGGCAGTCATTAGTAATACGTGGGTGCTTGGAAAGGCTGCAGAGAGAAAAAGGTGAAATGAGATGAGAACAAAGGGCATGTTTTTGGCAGCAATGAACACTGCTTTAAGGCTAATCTCAGATCTGCACACCAGTAAAGTGCAAGACTCAGGGTTATGCGCTCACCTAAGGAGTAAAGACTGAGTTAAGTCTCAGTGTGTGTTTTCTTTCCCCCTCCTGGACTCATGAGCATGGGGTTGAACCTACACTTGACCACCCCAACCCCTGGTGGAAGTGGGCAGTACCCATAATTCCTGGCAGATGGCAGGTCTCAAGGGTTGGGAGTGGGCGGGGAGAAGAGGGTGTCCCAAAAGGATGGGAGGGTGTGCATGAGGGTGTGGGATAAAACCCCCAACCCTACACTTGACCAGGGCTGACACTGGTGACTCCCCCGCTGGACAGCGTCCTCCTGCCTGGAGCGGTCAGACAGAGCCGCTGGCCCTGGCTCAGACCTGGCTGGGGGTGCGGTGACTTAGGCAGCAGAGTCCTGCATAGCACGCCTGAGGCAGTAAGAGTTTGTACAATTAAAAAGAAGAAAAAAAAAGAAATCGATCTTTAGTTAGCCTACTTATTGTCTATAACACTGGTCAACTAAACCATCACCAGCAAACAACTCCCCAGAGGAGTTTGTATGGTGGCAAAATGGTATGAATATGGATAAATAAATCCCAGCGCACAAACTACCACAAGTGAGAGGGGGAGAGCTTACACTGTGTTGTAAAAGACCGGTGCAGCCAAACATAGCTGGGGCAGAAGCAACAGGTCAATAAAATTAGGCCAGTCCTGATTTGGATCACAGATAAAAGTGATTCTAAACATTCATATTCACCGACCTTCAGTACAATCATAGGGCTGGAAAAAAAAGGGCTATTTAAGTTGAAATTAAATAGTTCAGATTCACTAGATAAAATTTCAGTTAGACAGTTGGGTTCAAGTTAAACATAAGAACCCACTTGTCCCCTGGCCCCACACAGACCTCCAGAGGTTTTCCGCTGGTGTCAGCGGGAGAGCGAAGTGCTTGTTCAGATGACCATGCTCGGCCTGGTTCCCACCTTAAATTATTTCACCTCTTACAGCTCTCAATTCGCCTTTTACTAATTCAGGTGACAATATTACCTGCATTCATGGAATATTTTAATGAGGAAATTAGAGTATAGTCATTTTAAGCTACTGTGTAAAGAACAGTGCTACTCCTAGCTCTCTTCCTTCTGTAAAGGAAGGAAACTTTTTAGAAGAGGTCTGATGATAGGTCTTTCTTGCACTAACATAGAAGGTTTGTCAGTCTGAAAAATATTTGATTTAAAAAGTAACTACTGAAATCATTGCTAGTGAAAAAGTGTTGCTCCCCTAGAATTTCATCTTAGGCATAGAACTGATAGAGATCCTAAAAGAGTTGGATTTCTGTCTGAGGACATTTGGTCAAGGATGTGAAAGTAGCATGTGCTGGTGGAAACGGCTTAGACAGATAATTAGAAAAACTGAGCACTTATCCTTGGTTTTGAATAGATGTGTGATCTCAGCTATGTCACTTCATCTGCTAGTGCCTCTCATCTTTGTTTTCAAATCTGTATGACAGTAATGCCTTCTTCAAATTTTACATTCGTGTAATCAATACTTAGGAAGACACTCAAGAGGATCAAGGACTCTCCCTGGAATCTGAACATTGTTCTAAATTAGCTTCATACACTTTGTCTTGGATACATATGTCTAACTTAGTTTTGTTAAGTTTACTTCATTTATTTTCATCTGTTAAAAGAAAATGTATTTACCTTTTCTCTTCTATTTGTTTACCACTTAAATGTCCTGCCCCCAAGAGTTTTTTGATTCTGGAATATTAAGACTACTCTGAGAAAAAGTTGAACTTTCACTCTCCCATCTATCTGTCCATGTGCTCAGCACCCATACCTGTGTTGAATGCCTACAGTGTGCAAAGATCGTGCCAGACACTGGGCATCACATTGTTTCCATCATGGCACCCCAGGGTGAAAGCCACATGGTTAAAACTGCCGCCCGCCTTATTGAAAAGAAAAGCTGATGGTGCAGGTCCTCTTGACCTGCCCTTCTAGTCGTGGGAGTGTTTGGTAACAACGGTGGTTCAGTCTATTGCTTGCCCAGTTCCCTTCTGATTCCAACTGAGCCTGCTGCATTCTAGAGGCACTGAATGAGGCTGAGAAGTTTGAGTAGACTTGAGTCGAACCTTAAAGAGCTAGTCTGTGCTTTTCTCATCACACATCAGAAAGAGCCATTAGAGATGCTGTAGAATAGGCTATAGTTTCATTAGTTGTTCAACTGGAGGAGGAAAAATACATTTTAACAGGATAATCCCTTCCTATTCTATATCCTAGAGATAAAGCTAAAATTGGGAGTCTGTTTACATTTCTAGCATGATTATATTCTCAAATTGAACCCTCAGGGTGAAAGAAATGTATCAAATAGATTTTCTACAGATAAAAATATCCTATTGAATAGCGTTTCATCAAACGCTAGTCTTTTTTTGGTAGGCTTTCCAGTGGCTCAAACTCCATTCAAGCAGGTATCACATGGCTATTTTTCAAAACGTCTTACCTTGTCGCTGCTTTTCCACATAGTGGGAAATGTTGAAGATCAGTGATATAGTCAGAGCTAAACCCAAGAAGGCTAGAATTGCCCAGACATAAAACTGGCATTCAGAGTTTTCTGCAAACAAAAGCAAACACATGCTTAATATAGTAGCTGCTTACTCATTTGTTTTGAACTGGGTATTCCTACGATTAAAACCACTGTATTTATCCACAATGAAGGACAAATTCTTTGCCAAGAAATTAATTAACATTGACAGCCAAAGGCTTTTTACAGATTTCAAAATGGGTATTAGTGACAAGTCCCTGCATTCAGCATGGGTAAAAGACAGCAAGTTCCCCACATTCCTAGTGATGATGAAATAGAAGACATTTTTAGTCTAGCTACTAAAAGTTGACAACTGGTGACTGATTATAAAAATTCTGGCTCAAAATCAAGACTATCCAAATTATGTAGAATCATAATTGGCTATACTTTTCCCATTTCTTTAATTCTATAGTCATACATGCTCTCAGTGATGGAGAACACTTATTACCTTCTGTTGATCCCAGTACTAGAGAACAGTGTGTGTTGGGATAAAACAATACTTCTGAAGTCGTAGTGACCCAGTTTCATCAAGATTGGCTCACAGAGAAAAAAATGTGACAATGAATATATATATGTTCATGTATAACTGAAAAATTGTGCTCTACACTGGAATTTGACACAACATTGTAAAATGATATAAAAATCAATAAAAAATATTAAAAAAAAAAAGATTGGCCACAGAGTTTTCTCTATTTAATCCCCATGAACTGGTAATGGAGAGTTGGTTTTCTCTCTCCTTTCCCTCTGTGAAGGCCTCTTTTTTCATTTCTGAGTCCTTAGTTATTTATGGCACTCTACACATATACGAGTGACTGCTAAGGTAATTAGCCTAGTTATAAATATATGTATAAATATATTATAAAATATAAATAAGATATATTTACATACATATATAAAACTTGGCTAATTCTTCTAGTAGTCATATACCCATGTGAATGCTGACCCCAGAAAATTAACTTGTGATTCTCTAATACTAAATATTTATGTATTCAATCAGTATCAGTTAGACATCTCTTCTGTGCCAGGAACTATGCCCTATATTAGGGAGTCAAAGAAAACAGAATCCGTGCCCTCAAGGAACTCTGTTTAGTTGGGGACATGAACGTATAAACACGTAATAAGAAATGCAGTGTGAAAACAGCCATGCTACAGATTATGCTCCTTCGTAGTCTCAGCTTTCTTTCTGTGACTGCCTGGAATCAAAACATCTTAGGCCCTTTCAAAGAAATCCAAATACCACAATGTTAAACACAATCAAACTTAATGGGAGGGAAATGAGTTTTACTTTCGTAGCCTCTCTTTAACCCATTGAATAAAGAATCCCTAAACCCAAATGTTCTTTGTGTTGCTCTATTTTACTTCTTTTCTGTATCTCAGATTTGACATTTGAATTGTTTTCTTCAAATTATTGACATTGCAGTAGTGGTTGAACTGTCCTCCGTAGTCCTGTGTATTTGAGTTGCTTTATTTATTTATTGGCATCACTTATTTTTAAATGAGCATAGTTAGGCATAGAGGTGATTATATATATACATTTATGATATAGATGTACATATACATAAACATGCATATAATTTGCATATCACATTCATCTATACATTGCTTTGGTTTGAACTAGCCTCTGGCTCTTTCAACATGAGAAAATCTGTCTACTAATGTCTGCTACCTCTTTAATTTTATACCATGTAGTTAGATGTTCAAAATACCATAAGCTCCACAGAGAACAAAACCACTTCTGCCTTCTACTTGCTATGCCAGACATATCGTATATGAGTTATAAAAATTTTCAAAGAATTAATAAATGGGAAAAGTTAACTGATAATGGTAGTGAAATGTGTGATTTTATTTTCTTTAAGGGAATTTTTATGTTTCATAAATTATAAGAAAACTGAGAACATGTGAAAGTATTTTTATCTTCTGCAATAGACCTACCAACTAATTTGGCTAAAAACACTAAGATTTGGAGAAGCCTAATTTATCCATCATGATCATAATCCCATAAATATTTATAGAATACTACAACATAATAATTATTAACTATTTAAAATAAATTTGAAATTCTAGTTATTGCATGGTACTGCATATATTTTTAAAATTATTTATTTGATTTTTGTCTAATTGTTTATTAAAAAAAATGCCTGCTGAGTGTAAATTTTTAAAATTCCAACAATATCAAAATGTAGAATAACATTTAAGGTCCTCTATTAAAACATAAATGGGACATTAATATAACACTTTTAGCCTTACCAGCGCACCTGGGGACTTTGTTTTTTTACCATTTTGTATATTACTTTTAGTGGTTGCATAGAATCTCACAGTGTTGCTGTAGTATAATTTTTCTGCCTATTCCTGTAAAATGGACATACTTTTTAAAAACATTTTCATTTTATAAATAATAATGCAACAAACTCCACTGGGCAGACATCTTGTCCATATGTGGACTTAATCTGGAGAAAGGTTCTTGGGAGTAGAATGCTGAGTTAATGGAAATTTTTAAGGTAAACTTTTTCTGAGAGTGATTGTTCCCCACCTCTGGTTGATAATAATCCCTTCCAGGTGGTCAATTTAACTGTAATGGTGAAAACTGGGACCAGCAAGCTGTCTCACTTGCCAGATTGGTCTCAGTTTCCCTCTTTGCTGTCAGAATACAGGGTTGTTAATGTCTGATTTCTGTGATTAAATTAATCATTCCTATTAGTAAAGATTTTTTTCTTTTATTTTCCTTGTGTGCCCCTTAAGGATCCACAGTCTAGCTACAGTTCTAACTTCATCCACATTTTAAAGCGATTTGAAGGCACACACTATATTTTCTATTGAGGTATGTTTCAATTATCATCTTAGGCTACCTGCTCAGCCACATGGAGACTAATCACTCCCCATCTATAGTCCCTGTGTTTGGTGACACTTAAATACATGAACTTTAATTGCTACAAGGAAGCCAGACTTATTATACACATCATCCATGTTCATAGTTAAAAACAGTTAGTAAACCCAGATACGCAAAAAACAAAATGATAAGAATCAACTGTAACCCTACTATCAAGAGACAATCACTGTGAACACCTCAGTTAATATACTTCTAAACTTATTATTATTTTCTGTGTAGCAATTGTTACAGTTGAAGGCATAGGATTTAACTGTACTGAGTATACTGTTACCTACTTTTGCCCCAATAATTTAAAGCATGCTTCTTTTCCTAGAAGCAAAATATTCTTCCATTCCCTATATTCCATTATATGGATTTTCCATAATTTATTGAATCAACCCCCTATTGTTAGACACTTAAGTTGCTTCTAATTTTTAGTCACATAAGCAATCTTGTGATGAATATCTGTAGCCAAAACTAGACACCCAATTTTACTTTTTTAAAGGTAACAGTTGCTAGAAGGGGAAATGCTGGATCAAAGGATATGGACATCTCAAAAGATTTTGATGTCTTGATGGCAAACATTTTAAAAAGATACTAAGCAGATCCTTCTCAGGTCACTGTGGCCTCTGTTCCTATTAGTTCAATAGGCCCTGACTTTACAGTTTCTTCCGTTAATCCTGGCTACTTCAGCCACCACTCTTAATCTGGCTACTATCTCTCCACATTGTCCCCATGCCCTCCCCTCCTCCGAGGTTTCTGGAGAACGTTGTCCCTTTGTTCTGTCTCTAGAGCCAGTGACATAGGTCCTTCAGGAGAAGGTGCCTGCTCCTATTTCTGCCCTAAACATAGAGGACATCACACTTTTCTTTCCTTACCGTGCGTTATTTCCACAAAATGTTACTCTAAGTTTCCTGCTTGTCTTTTAGGGATTGTCCACTATACCCACCTAATAATACGCCTTGATCCAGTCATTCTGAAGCACTTTCAGCTTTCAGTAGGTACCACACTTACCATTTCATGCCTTTATGTCTGTATATTTGCCCCTTTTCCTGAAATACCTTTCCCCTTGGCCATCTGACAAATTCCTACAAATTCAACTTCTCTCTGAAGCATTCACTCAATGCTACCCTTCCCTCGCCAAATGACCTCTTATATATCCCTGTACATGTCAACAAATACTGAGGTAATCATTTGTGTATAAAAGTCTGCCCCCCACTAGACTGTGACAGAAAGGACAGAAGGAATGTCTGACTGATCTTTATCTTCATGCTTTAATTTCCTATTGTACCTATTATTATGGGGATTCAGTGAGTTAAGACATGTAATGAGATTTACAGTACAGCATTTCTCACTAATAAAATGCTCAAAAAATGGTATCTTTTGTTGCCATTATTATCTTATTATTATCTTAATACTGGTGAGACTCCTACTATTATTTCTGCAACCTATTCGGCACAAAGTAGGTGTTGGCTAAACATGTGTCAACTGATAAATACATATGAAGAGTGGAATCAAGGAGGGGAATGGAATGACCAGGGCCAACAGAAAGGTTCTGATCAAGTGAGAGCTAGACACAACCACAACCCAGGAGGAGACCAATTGAGATTGTTACATTTGTCTCTAGCACTACCGAGGGGAAAGGACCTATCTCCCACGGCTGGGAAACACATCTCTGTGAGAAGAGGAACTCACTGCAGCTTTGGTGAATCCTAATTCTCTCTGCCCCGAATCTATATCGGCCAAAACATCTGTGATTATCTGTTTCCTAGGAAACTTGATACAAGGAAATCGGGGCTAACAGCTAGCTGTCTGATTAGATTTATGGGGGTGGTCACAGCTCTAAATGTAAAATGTAATTTTCTTGTTTAAAAAAATTAGTCTTTGAGGACTTTGATTATTGTCATTAAAATCCCCAGAAAAAGGAAATTTAGAAAACACCGCTAGCTGAGCTAAGCTGTGAACCCAGTTGCAACTCTAAATAACACACGCTTGTGTAAAACTGGGATGCTGGCATAAAAGCTGAGAGTCAGGGTGAGTAGAAACAGCCTCTTCACAGACCACAGGATCATCTTGAGAAGCGTAGCGCGAGGGTGTGCTTTCACTCTCTCCTCTTCAACCTTTGCCTTAAAGACCTTATATGTTTATTTTTACTTATTAAATG